GGTGTAGGGTAGAGGCAGGCGATGGAGCCCTGATACCCTGTCTTAGGGGCAGGGTGTGGGCAGGTGCTGCAGGCAATTGCGGAGACCTGACTGGGGCCGGGCTGAGGAAGAAGAGCAGGCAGGATCTGGGGACAAGGTTCCTCTGTGCTTCTGCGATGTGACAAGGCAGGGAGCGGATGCTGCTGTGCTGTTAGCAGAATCTCAGGTGACCGCTCTGCACTGTCCTCAGGGCATGGACCCTGCAGCTCTGCATTCTCGGAGTCCGAGTCTCAGTGGGCACTCAGGTGCTGAGAACCCAGTGGAGGAGACAGGATTGGGAGCACAAACGTGATTCAGGAGCCCTGCCTGTGCTAGGAAAGCTGAGAGTTAGACGTGGTCTCCGACCTGGGGACTTCTCTGTGGACCATAGGTGGAAGCCTAATCCTGTTGCAGGAGAGGAAGAATGATCCCTACGGATGGACGAGGAGGGGTGGGTCACACCTTTAGGCAGCGTGGGGGACACCTCTGAAGCAGGCTGGCCCTAGCTCTCCTCTCATTTTGTCTTTTTTCCCTGCCGTCCTGGGGCTTGAACCTACGACCTCCCACTGAGCCACATCCCAGCCTGTTCAGTTTTCATTTTGAGACAGGGTCTCACTAAGTCGCTAAGTTGCCCAGGTTGGGCTTGAACATGTGATGCTCCCAGCATACTGGGAGTACAGGTGGGTCCCACATGCCTGGCTCTTCCTGCTTTGTGTGATTAAATGTCACCAAAGCGGAAATCGGGTATTTAATATGGCGACATAGTCTAAAGTAGGAAATAGCACCCTGTGAGAGTGCCCAGCACTTCGCTGAGCATTTTATAGGCAGCTTCGGACAAAAATAAATAATCTTATGGTCTTATACATAAGACACCTGGGTCCTATCTCAAGTCATCAACTCCAAAGGAAAGAATATTTCATAGCTATCCTAAACAGGAAAGTCACAAAAAGGAATGGTTCTGTATTGGCCAAGCAAACACAAAAATAGGTAAAGTATGCAATTATTGATTAGTAAGACCCCTGAGAACTCTAAAGAGTAAACAAGGTCTTCTAATGGACTTATTTAAAATAAGGGTTTCTGTCAATTGAGTACTCAAAAATGTGCTAGAGATTAAGGAATTAGAAGTAATATTTTAAATGCATTAAAAAGAATATTTTAAATGCATAGAAACATAATTCTAATAGGTTAGGAGTGCAAGGCTGCATAATTTTGGCAAACTGCAAACAAACTCAACTTTAATTTTTGATTAATGAAACAGATCTGTCCTCTCTGGCCTGCAGAGAATCTTCTGTTTTCATTCTCTTTGGGTGTGTTTTAAACGTGTGCAGGTTCAGTGATCAAACAAAGTAATGTTATTTCTACTTGAGGCTTACAGTGATAAAAGTAAAAGTTATGTTGACTTAGTCTGAACTATTTATTTCAACAGTAATTGTGTTTCGAAGTGTGTCAGCTGTGAGATTAACGTCTAAGCTTCTTAGAATATGTTAAATTTGAGTTAATGAAAGGCTATTCATTGGATTACTAGACAATTTCTCAGTAAAAATGAAACATTAATTACTAATGATAAGTTCAAATTTATATCCTTTTCCTTACTTTTATACACTACTTACAGGGGGCAAAAGGAACTTGCTTCCTCCTCTGAAGGCTCAAAATGGAGTCTGCAGAAATAAATGGACAAAAGACAAACGGGAGGAGAGAGATTCAGATTTGTTACGTGCACAGAGGCATCATGGGAAATGAATGCCCCCACCCCAAGGAGGTTCAGAAGCTCCTTAGTGGAGAGGGGACCTGGGGGATGTAGGCGGTCTATGGAGAGTAGTGACTTTTGGGGTGGATGAACAGGTCTAAAGAACAAGGAACAGCCTGGATGAGGCTTGTCTGGAGCTTGAGGGTGGTGGGAACTCGACTGTTCTTTTCTGAGAGTTTCATCCCTGCAGGATCTGGCCTCCGGTCACCAGGGCCACGTTAGCGGATGTCCTTCCCTGCACTTCCTGCGGAGAGGGACGGACATGAGACAGGGAGGCCGGAGGTGCCAGAGAGCCCCAGCTCTGCTTCCTTTGCTTCAAAGTATTCAGCGTGCCAGAGTGAATCCATCCTTTTGGGTGCATTTCCTGAGCCCCAGCGCTGTCTCTGGGACTCTGAGTGAAGGTGCTAACTTTTGTCACTTCGAAAGTTGTATAAGGGAGGTGTGTGGCTGTGGGAAGTTGTGTTGTGTGTGTCCAGGAGCACTGCTGGTCTGTAAAATGCTGGTGTGTGATGGCTGACAGTTACCCACACTCCTCCATGGACACCCCACCAAATTTCCTCTGGGAAATAGAAGTTACTTTGGTTAATTAAAAGTTATAACTGAATAAATATATCAACATGCGACTCTACTATGTGTAATCTTGGACTATAGTAAGATATTCCTTTTGCTTAGGACAAAAGAAAATTATACCTATGTAAACAATGAGCTATGGAATCGGTGGAATCAACAAGCTCTGATAAGCTATGGAATCCATTAAAATCTTAGCAAAGTTTGCCTATTTTAATGGCTTCTCCCACTGAGTTTCTACATATTGCCCGTATCTACAATTTTTATAAAGATTTATCTATTTGTTTATTTACCTGAGGCTTTGTCTTCAAGGAATAAGAGATCTCCACTTCCGGGGAATTTTGTGTTTAGAATTCTACTTCCCTTTGACCCTTCCATGTTAGTCCTTGTAAGCAGCCTGAAAAGTTGGGGGGCTCTGGTATACCACCGCTAAGACAAGAGTAGACAATTTAGACGGTGTCACCAAGATCACCAAAGACGATCATACCGTGCCACCCTAAAATTTACCACCTTGTCGCGGGGATTATTTTAAGGCATTGAGAACCAGGACTCACAGGAAGGACTCTCTGCCCGGCCCCTTCCTCCCCTCAGAGCTGGGCATGTATCTCCTTCTGTGAACTGGGATGGGGGAAGGAGAAATGGAAGAAAGGGAAAGATTACGTGTACGTGGGTGTACACATGTAACTGTGTGTATGTATCTGTGTGCAAGACAGACGACCACACAGCCAACCTCTATTAGTTCATCAAAAAGAACGGTTTGTTCTGTCACTGTTTGATTGATCATTTTTATGCCTAGATCTTGTAAACTAAACAACTATTTCTAAGATAACAACATGCAATATATTAACCAGTGTTGATTTCTGTTTTTTAAAATTCTGTATTATTTCTATGCTTTGTTCTGTTTTGCTTTTTTAAAAATAATAAAAAAATTTCCTTCTGTGAAAGCGACACGAATTCCATTAGATGAGGTGTCCCTGTCCTCTCTCCTCTCTTAGCACACCTCACTAACGCCCTTACGGTCACACACTGCCTGGTCACCTCCCCAGGATTATTGCTCCAGCAGCCTAACTGTCCCTTTCCATTATCTTGTCACTTCTCACATACAGAATTTCAATTCGCCTTTTAAAAACTAGCTTATAAGCACCCACATGTCCACTTCTGGGGAGGTCTTCATTTCCTTTCTATGAATCCCTCTGTGTATAAAAGTTAAAATAGTTACGCCAAATAAAACCCACATTTTCTTCTGTTGATCTGACTTTTGTGGTTTAATGCACAAGTCCGAGTCGCTGAACCAAAGATGGAAGAGAAGATGTTTTCAGACTCCTCATCGTGGAGCACGGGGGAGTCGGTGGCTCAGACCAGGGTGGCCGGGAGGTCACTCAGGCCTCCCGAGGAGGGACAGGTACCATGGTGCCGAAAGCAGCACTAGAGATCTGGGTTGGTTCCACCCCAGGAGGGACATCTGGCTTGAACTCAGACAGCCAGATAACCTCGCAGGGGCTGAGAACAGTCTCCCCACCCATCCTTAGCCTGGGAAGAAATGAAGACCCCACCAGAGCATGTGTGTGGGTGCTTCTAACCTAGTACCGAGAACCAGCCACTCACTCTGCATTACCCTGGCGCTGTGTGTGTCCCCGCCTGAAGTGGGGTGCTGCAATCTTCCTTAGCACCTTCCTGGAGTGGCTTCCTAGGCCCATTTGCAGATCTCCGGGAGATGCTCTGAAATCCGCACCCCGCTGCCTGCACTGCTTCCGGACTGCCGCAGCCCAAGCCTCTCCCAGCACTCGCCAAGCCCTCTTTCCATTAAACTTCCTGCTCTCACTAAGGTCTGACGCCTCCTGGCCTCGTCCGAGGTGCCGCACAGCTCTGCAGATGCTGCTCTCCTTCACTGCAGTGAGTGGCAGACTCGGTTTGTCTTAGTGAGAGGCGGTTCTATGACGTTTGGGGAACCAGCTTGGGGTAAAAGTTACAGTTGGTTTAGAGGAGAAGTCAAGGTGCAGAGACACTTGTGGATCAGAAATAATGAAAGGAGCTGGGTGTGGTGGAGAATACCCAGAATCCTGGGACTCTGGGAGACGGAGACAGGAGGATTGCAAGCTCAAACTGGCAATTTAGTGAATAGGATGTCTCAAAACATAATTTAAAAGAGGGCTGGGAATGTAGTTCAATGTGATGGCTCTTGTTCAGCCCTTAATATTAAAAAAAATTTTTTTTGCAAATGACTGCAAAACTGCCTTTTTGGAGGGAAAAGGCAGACAGTCAGAATTTATTGCATGTCTGTAGTACATAATTACTTCCATTGTACATTAGGCAGGTTTCAATCAGTGTTAAAAACACCTGAGATGCTCAACTTAGGAAGAGACCAGGTTGATTTGGGCTCACGGTTTAGAGGTTTCAGTCCATAACAGCTCGGCCCTGTTGCTCCAGGCCTGGAGAGATGTAGAACCTCATGGTGTGAGTGACAAGGATATAGAAAAGGGGTCAGAAAGACACCCTGCCTCACAGTCCCTTCCAGGCCAAGTCCCCAGTGACCTGGAACCTCCGTGGTCCCACCTTTTCCAGTGGGCCCAAAGACTGAGCCTTGACATGTGTGTCTGGGGAGGCACTGCAGCTCCAAAGGAGGCAAACAGCTCGACACCATCCACTGGTTACAGAGTCCGGAAACAGCTGAGAGGCAGTCAGAGCCCCACAGACCCAGCCTGTAGGAGGCAGACTGGACGTGTGCTGGAGGACGCACGGTTCTCCCTAAACTGTTTCCTGTGTTTCTAGTGCACTTCCCAGGCATCAAGTTTACTGTCCACGCTCTAGGAAATGAATCTGACCATACCCGCTTTCAAAACGGTAAGCAAAGGCTTTTCAGAAAATGCAGAAATGTTCACGAACACCCGTAATGGGGCAGCGCCCAGTGCAAACCTCACATACAAGAGAAAACTGGTGCAAACCTTTGAACGGCAAGGGGAGAAAGGGTTCATGGATGTCGGATGCAGTCCCAGGTGCTCTCCAGTAAGTTCTTTAGTTTGCGGTCTTTCTCTCTCTCTCTCTCTCTCTCTCTCTCTCTCTCTCTCTAATCTTGCATTGTCTTTGAGCTACTTTGGAGCTCTGTGAATTGAAAAGCCAGAGCAGTGCCAGTGATTCCTTCCAAGGTCTGTGCCAGTGGAGGCTGCTGGAGGCCGGGTGGGGTTTTCACGCGGCTTCAGAAACCCATCAGCCGGGCCTTGCTGATTGCCTGCACATGTGCCTGCCCTTTGAAGTCTCCTTTGAACCAGTTTAACCCCTTAGGGTCCTCTCATTAATTGGTGAATAAAGTGAAATCTTTGACATGTGTTCACCTTTTTATGTATATGAGAGTTGTGATTTTTACCCATTTTTTAAAAATTGCCTATATAGAAACCAGGGTGCCCTGGAAGCATCTCATGTTTCAGACCCTACAGAAAGTTTGGGGCCCATCCAAAGCTGCTCTCTCCCTGAAATTATTTGATTTTCGGGCTGCATACCTGGCATTCCTGGAGGACTGTTAAGCTTCCATTGTTTGCTTTGCAGAGTTATCTGATGTTGGGAGCTGTTTGTAAAGCACAGGCTGGGTAATTAGGCCCTGCTAACTTCTTCCTGACCAGAATGCCAGGATAAATATTTAACAGCAACAAGGGACTGAAAATAAATAGAGATCCATTAATGACAGCTAATTTGGAGCTGCAAGGCCATCAGGAATGACTTCTCCATTCTAATTACAGTGTAGTGCGACTCCCTGCCAGAGGTATTTGGATGTCAGATGCAGTTAGCTTTAACTTGAGGCCTTGAAACCTTTACAAATGCCAGCATGGCTCTCTCCTCATGTCACCCCAGGAGGCTAAGGGGTCTTTATCTCCTGCTGCAGTGTCTTGAGATGTGTCACTAATTGCTCAGGAAAAGTATATTCTGATGCAATTCTCAAGTTCAAAGCATCAGAAAAGTCAGATGCATTCCGGAGATAAAGCATATTAGGGTCCAAAAAGCCATCTCAAAGTACTTTAACAAGCAAGCAAACAATACCATTGGATCACAGGGCAAAAGTCCGGGGATAGTGGCCAGAACATGGGGCCCCAAAAAGGTCATCAAGATCTGGTATTTCTCCTCTTTGTTCTGCTTCCTGTGTGCCGGCCCTGTTTAGCCACCTCCGCCTCCCTGAGATCAGCAGAAAAAGAGTCCAGCTCTCACCAGCTCTCTCTGGCTGCACAAACAAACTTCTCAGGATTAAGTCCAGTCAGATTGGTCACCATGTCTTGAATCGTATGTTACTCTCTGAGCCAATCACCATGTCTAGACAGATGTGCCTTTATTTTTGTGGTGCTGCGGGTTGAATGTGGGTTCTCTGCATTGAATTACATCTCCAGCTCTTTTTTATTTTGAGACCAGGTTTTACTAAATCACTAAGTTGCACAGGCCGGGCTTGAACTTGCAGTCCTCTTGCCCCAGCCTCCCCGGGTGCTGGGATTACAGGTATATACTGATGTTATATACAACTAAGTGAGGAAGAAATGTTACAGGCAGTCAGACAGGAATGGGCCCTTAAGGGAGTCAGTGCAGAAGATGCAAACACAGCACAGGTGAGGCTCAAGATAAAGACAGAAGGACGAGTCCTGGACACTGCAGCCTGAGGGAGGCTGGGAGGCGGAACCAAGGGGCTCTATCTTGAGGTCACCTTTCCTGCCTCTAGGCAATTTACCTGTGGCATGAAATGAATACCAATGGGCTACCTGTGGATCACTAATGCCCCCTAGGCACTACCTCAAACCTAAACTACATGTATGCCCCCACACCACGTGTCTGGCGGAGAAAATGCCAGACCCTGGAGGTCATGGAGTCTCTCTCCACATTCTTAAAATAAAGGCAATTTTTATTTCATACTTCTAATCTTTTTAGCTGTGCCAAAAATTCTATCACATGGTTCCCTTCCATGCTGAAAATTCTATCCGACAGTTCCCTGACCGGCAATGGCAGACGAGAGACTGCTGGTGAGTCCCTGCCGTTCAGGATGGACTGCATCCTGGATTAATTCCTCACTTCTCACCACCGGGAGCTGCTAAACTTGTCGCTGCTGGTTTGCAAACAACACTGGTCTAATTCATTTACCGCAGGTGAGCAACCTCCAAGATGACTCAGCGCTGGGCCAGGCCCCACGGGGTTTTCTTCCCACATGGACTCGAGTGGCGCTCTCACGTCCTTAGACAGCCCCGAGGCAGAGCTTTTACTGTAAGCTCTCATGTCCCTTAGAGCCTTTAAGCTCTCACGGGCAGGCAGAGCCATTACTGTAATCCACGGGAAATCCACTCGTACCTTTGGTGATCTTGGGGACCACTTCCTGTCCCCCTCAAAAAAACCATACCTACTTATAGTTTATCACACTGATGACAAGTTTACAAAAACTCTCCAACTTTGGGCCTTTATTTAAGGGTGTGTCCTTCCCTCCCTCTGCTCCTCCAGGATCCCTCCCCCTCCCCACACTCAGGAGACAGCATCGTGTCTGTCTTTACAGCCTTTCAAAGCTTTCTCAGCATCCCCCTTTCCTTCGCTTCACCCATTTCTCAGTCCCTCCCGCCGACCCATCTTTCCCGCTGGGGTGGAGGAGGTGCACCTAGACAGCTTAGGGGAGATACGCGTGGGCTGCTCTGGGCCCTCACGCCGCCCCCAGCTCTGCGCCCCACTCACCCTACATGCCCTGCCCACTCTGCATTCACCACCCCACCCTGGGCGCTCTGCCCACCCTCCATGCTCTGCCCCGCCCTGCACGTGTCTCCTGAGCAGCCCCCGCCCCAAGCGCACACGCGGTTCTGAGCACCAGCAAGAGACAGAAACAACAGGGGGCAGCGGACAATTCACTGTTGCTGATCTGATGGTGTCTTCATGCTTTCAGATATAAAATTGGGATTGTTTCTGCTGCCTTTTTCTTGTGTTCCAGCCAAGAGATACAAATCAGACCAACTTGAGTAAATCAGTCAAATAATAATTTTAAACAAATATTTATGTAATGTAAGATAACAAAGGTTTTCTTTCAGATCTAGACATATGCTTAGAGATGTGTGTCACAAATTTCTTCAGTGTTCAAATGTTAAAACACTCATGGTTGATAGCCATTTAATGCTCTATGTTAAGCTTACTGTCTATATTGTATTGTACTGTTATCAATCTTCTAGATGCTTAACAACTGGAATTAAGAGGTAATTATTATTATTGGTACTAGGGATCAAACTCATGACTGCCTGCTTGCAAGGCAGGTGCTTATGCCGCTGAGCTAAATCCCTAGCCCCCTTAAGAAGTAATTATAAGTGATACTTATATAAAGTATTATATATTGTATTGATATTATATAAAGTATTGATATTATATAAAGTTATAATCATAAATACCCTGTTGATTATATTATTTGACTCCTGCATACTTAATTAATTCTACAGATACCTTCTACTGTAGACCAGATCCCAAGACAAAAGGCTAAACTTGGCCCTCAAACCCCACAGGGAGACCTTCTTAATATGACTTTTCATGTTTTCAACAACAGAGATAAAAAATAACAATCTGATCTTTTAGCAGTAACACTTGGAGCTCTGAGACAGGTAAACCGACACAAGGTGGAGCTGCCTGAGCCCCCATGGACCATGCTTCGAATGCAGCAGAAGGACATTGGGCAAGAGAGTGCCTCATCCTGGTGTTCCTTTGAGACCTTACCCCAGGGCTACTGGACTGTCCTAGCCACCAGAGAGTGGGTAAGCCATCCTAACTTCTAGCCCTCACAGGAAATGCCAACACTGCCAGATTCATCGCTGACAGATCTGCTTAAACTTGCTGCTGAAGACTGACGGGGCTCAGGGCCAACAACAGCCCCCTTTAAGGTATCCTTCTCAGAGTCCTAAGGCCCACTAGGAGTCTCAGGTAAGACATTCTCTATACTTGTGGACATAGAGACCATGTATAGGGTTCTTCCTGAGCTTTCAGGCTGCTATATTAAGTCCTCAGTCTCTGTGGGGCTATTGATGGCCAACCTATGCAGCCTTTACAGACAGGGCCTATTTTGTGCGGGTTCCAGACCGCTTCTGCCCAATCCATGCAGTGGTGCCAAACCCTTATACCATGCTCTCATATCCCTCCCTCCACCACTCACTTTACAGTCTAGATCTTAAAAATGCCTTTTTATTCCTTTGTGTTTATGCAGACTGACCCAGACACTCTGAGGTCCCAACAGCTTACACCCATTATCTCTGGTAAACCTTCTCCTCAGGGGCACACAGCACCCTCTTCCTTTCCTAGTCACCAATTTCTCAAACACAACCCTGGTCAAGACTGACAGATAAATTTTGTCTTCTCACTTTGTTTATACTTTTTCAGGATACATAAAAGCCTTTCACACAACCAGAGAGACTGCTGATACACTTACTAAAGTCCTGTTACATAAAACCACCCCAAGGACTAAAACCAAGTTAGAGCGGCCCATACCTGGTCTTCTTGGCAACCTCAACAGCGGTCAAAGTTGCCAGACTGCCATCCTGGTCTCACATCACTCAGGCTAAGCGGTGCCCTCCCAGCCCCAGATCTAACCATCCTTCTGCCCACTCATCCCCACTCACCAAGGCCTCACAGCCACAACTCTCAGGCTGTCATGTTTTGTTATCCAATTTGGTTCCAAATTTCTTATCCTTTTTACAGCAGGACTCTCAACAGTATTTCCTAAAGACTCTCACATCATGCATACCAGACACAAGCCTTACCTACCTACCCTCTTAACTTTTACCCTTTCAGCTGGGGGAATAATCACCTCTCATAACTTCCCTCCTCCTAACCCCACACTTGTTTTTCAGAATTCTACCTCACCGTGGCAATGATTCCTCCTCAACGTAGTCCTGACAAAATGACATAGCTAAATTAAAGGCACCTTTCCTTCTACCTCACCTGGGTCCATAAATATGATAGTGGCCTGCCTCCTTGTAACACCTTGTCTCTTTGTTTTTCCAGTCCAACATGTGGGCATTCACCAGTGATAAAGTTGTCCTGGTTAAAACACCTGGCACCAGCTTCTACATGGGCATCAACTATCATCCCATCAACCCTCCTAAACCTCAGGACAGCACCCCCTTCCAGCAGGAAGCAGAAGAAAGAAAAACCCTGCCCTTTTTCCTAATAATCAAAAAATGGGAATGAAAGGATTTTGCCGAAGGAGGCTGGGAGGCGGAACCAAGGGGCTCTATCTTGAGGTCACCTTCCTTGCCCCTAGGCAATTTACCTGTGGCACGAAATGAATACCAATGGGCTACCTGTGCATCACTAATGCCCCTTAGGCACCACCCCAAACCTAAGCTACATGTATGCCCCACACCACATGTCTGGTGGACAGAATGCCAGACTCCGGAGGGTCATGGAGTCTCTCTCCACATTCTTAAAATAAAGGCCATTTTTATTTCATACTTCTTATCTTTTTAGCTGTGTCAAAAATTCTATCAGATGGTTCCCTTCCGTACTGAAAATTCTATCACCTACAGGTCTCCCTATGGGGTAAGATAATTGGTCTCATCTGGTCCGATAAAGTCTAGGCAGACATCAGTCACCTAGGTGGGGGACCAGGGCCTCCTGATCCCTCCCTTCCTAAGGAATGACTTTGCTCTTCACATGCACCCCTGCAGTGTGGCCGCTTCCCCATTGCATCAACAGCACCCCAGCGCTGTACCTGCAGTCTCATTGGTTGATCATAGTTTCCACTCACACTGCACCCGCCTTGTGACCTGGCTCTATAAAGCTGCCTCTGAGAAGTAGGCTCATTGGAGCCCACTTTGAGCCTCCTCCTGTCTCTCAGGAGCTGTCTGTCAACGGAGCTTTCCTGCTCTTCCCTCCCTTGTTCCTGGCTGAGCACTTGCCTTAGAGGACAGTCAGGAAAGTTGGCTGCTGGGGACCCAAATAGCACATAGGAGTGGGCGACCTGTTGATTGGAGCCCTCAGGTTGAAACTGACTGAGAGGCCACATTTAAAAAACTTAGTACCCGTTTGCAGTGCATGTGACTGTATTCCTGTGTGGAGCCGGGGCATGCACACGGCACATCCGAATCCTTTCTTCTTCCCTTTCCTCTCTTCCTTCCCCTCCATCTCTTGATCCCTCCCCACTGGAGAAAGATCTGTGTCGCTACCTTCCATTGTTCATCTTTTATTGTGATCTTTGTTTATAATTTGGGTTTCTCCCATAAGAGAAGCCATGCGGTATTTAAGGTTGTGTCTGATTTACATCATGGTCTCAAGATGATCCATTTTCCTATTAAAGACTCAAGCTTATCTTTACTGGAGAGTGGCCCTCCACTGCATGTCAATGCCATGTTTTCTTTGCCCATACATCTGCTGATGGACATCAGGCCACTTCCGGGGTTCAGATATTCTGGATTGTGCTGCTGTAAACATGGGGATGCCTGGATTCCTGCAATGTGATGTCCTTCGGTCTTCCAGGAAGGCGCCTAGAAGGAGAATCCCTGGGTCTGGTTGTAGTGTTTGAGGAGTCTCCACACTCATTTCCATGGTGGCTGTGCCAGCTTACACTCCCTACGACACTGAAGAGGCCTTGCTTCTGGGGCCGAGTGTGTGGCCCCGATGGATGTAGTCTAAAAGCGTCTGCATGTACTGACAGAGCAGGTCCCGTGAGGCGGGCCGTGGGCTAAACCAGGTCCCTGCTGTCGGGAGAGCACAATGTTCTGGCCATTTCCTTGCCAGCGTCCTTGGTCACCAGATACTGCACTAAGAGAGGAGCTCTCTGGGAAAGCGGTTGGCAAGGCTCTGCACAGCCTGAGATGCTTGCGGCCCTCGGACCCCTCTAGTCACGTCTTATACTCGCCTGTACCCTCTGGCCATCTCAGGTTTCTCCCTGGCCCAGCAGCCTTCACATCTCTCGCTCCTTCACCACTGTCCTCTGTCCACCTCTTAGAGTCACTGTGGACCTGAGCACGATGGCCTGGACGTCCTGTGCGTACTGTGGGGAGTGAGCTGATCACGTCTTTGGCTCAGCCTGGCTTTCCAGTGTTTGCATGGTCATGCACCTTGCAGATTGTCCCCAGGGTGCCTACAATACCTTTAACAAGTGGGTGTCATAAAAAATTCCATTAGAAGCAATGTCAGAGTTTGAACATCACAGATATTAGATAAGCAATTGCTCTGATAATGTAAAGAAGAGTTCTAGCTGGGCGTGGTGGTGCACACCTGTAATCCCAAACACCCAGAAGGCTGAGGCAGGAGGATTTCTGTGAGTTCAAGACCAGCCTGGGCTACAAAGTGAGCTCAAGGCCAGCCTGAACTGCATAGTGAGACCCTGTCTCAAAAAGAAAAGAAAAAGAAAACAAAAAAAAAAAAAAAAAAAAGAAAAGGAAAAGAAGAAAAAAGTGAAGAGCTCTCAGTGGTTAAGACTTAGTTCTTACTATGCTAAGAGCTAGGGCTGAAAAATTCATGGGATCCTACAAGTTTGGGGGTTTACAGTTGAGGACTCCCTTAGGGCATTTCAGATAATGTTTGAAGAGAAAAGAAAAATGAACCGTGGTTATCAGGCAGGCGGAGGGAGCTGCTTGTGGGCTGACAGGGCAAAATCATTAGAAGAAGGTGTCAGTGTTTAAGAGGGTGCCTTGTGGTAAATGACTTCCACGAATCATGTCTTCGAATACCACAACAATTCTGTAAAGCACGGCCTGCCGTTCCCACCGTTTCCCAGCTGCCCACACCCGCCTAACAGATAGATCACGCTGCTCAGATGCGCACAGTGAGAACCCTGACTGCAGAGCTGGGGTCCTGCTCTCAGCTTCGGCACCACATGGATTCTGAAAAGATCCCAGCAGGGCAGGAGCTCAGGGGATCAAGCGAGCAGCTGGAGGAGAATCGGGGAGCTGGCAGCAGCAGCCCCGAGGGGCAAGGTGAGAACCGGGCGTTTGGAGGGTTTGGAGGGAGTTAGGAGGACCCCAGTGCAACTGGGTTCTGTGTTCGGATGGTTCATTGGATGAAGGCGGCTGCAGGACAGTTCTCATGGATGGGTGGGCTCCAGAGATGCTGAGGTCGCTCCATGCTGGGACTAGGTGGTGATTATGAGGAGCAGGTGGAGGGCAGTGTCCTGGATGACACTCAGGGACCTGGTTTACAGAGCTGAATGAGTTCCAGAGCCATCCCAGAGCTGGGGGGCTGGGAGCCCAGCGTGGGGCTCAGGCTTGGGGGAGCAGATGCTGGCTAAATTCAGGTTCCTCGACAGGTAAAGCTGGCAGCTGCGGGGTTCACCTGGGATCCACAGAGGGTCAGGGGATGAGACATTTGGGTGTTTCTTCAGGCCTTAGAGCAGCAGTAACAAGTTACCACAGATCTGGTGGCTTAAACAAGGGGTCCTCAGCCTCATGGGTTTGGAGGCCAAAAGTCCCACATCCTACTGCCCGGGTCTCTTCTAGCCTCCGCTGGCTGTGGGCTGTCCTTGGCGCCCCGAGGGGCTGCCCACTTCCACTCTGCCAAGCCCACCTCCACCTCCACGCGGTCTTCCCCTCTCTGGACTCGGTGCTGACTCCTTTTTTTTCTTTTGTAAGGAAATTTATCACTGAACTCAGGCCCTACTCTAAATCCATGATGATTTCATCTGAGGTCTTGACTAACATTTTCAAAGAGCCAGATGCTTCCAGATGCTTTCAGATGCTTCTGTTTGCAGATCAGTGCACAGTTAGAGGCACTGGCTTGGACTTGGATGGTCTTTTTAGGACCATATTAGATCCGCAACAGATGCTATGAGGTTAGAGCTGTCTCCCAGACTCTGGAGTCTGCAGAGCCTCAAGAGACCACGTGGAGGGAGAAGAACAGAACCGAGCAAGCATGCCGAAGGTCCCCATTGTGTGACAGTGGGGCTATGATGGGAAGGGGCCAGAGCGGTGGGGGGGGGACCCCAGAAAGTGGAGATGGAGAGAAGAGTGGATTCCCGAAGGGAAGGAGCAATACTTACAAATAAAGCTTGAAGAGGGCCGCTGTGCTTACTTAAAGTGGTATTGATGACTGGCCTTTTGTCTTGCAAATCTAGGGCTAATTTTGGATTTTTCTAACTGAACCTTAACTAAAACTCCAAATAAAATGTTAACTTTAGAGAAAGCTTAGTCACATAAATATCTGTGTTATGCTTAGAAGAGATCTTTCTGAAGTTTTTATTTTTCATTTAGGTGAAGACAATCCACACAGCTTGTCATCTGAGTCTTCATAGCTTTGACTTAACTTTTATGTGGAGAATCAAGCCTTCAAACCCAAGATAACTAAACAATAGCCCTGAATCCTGACCGCACAGTATTTCGCAAGCAGTCCTGGTTGTTTTGGCTTTCTGATGACAGAGTCACAGTGCCAGGAAGGATGTAAATAGGTCTACAGTGATGCCTCAGCTCGTGAACTTAATTTGGTCCACAATTCTGGGGAAGATGTCTGCATGTGTATTTGTCACCGGAGGTGGAGTTCATGAACAGAGGCAGACTTTCACTGAATGCTTTTTTTTTTTTTGGTACTGGGGATCAAACTCACGACCTCATGCTTGCCACACAGGCGCTTATGCCACTGAGCTAAATCCCTGGCCCTCGCTGAATGCTTCTGTCTGCCAGCAAGTTGTTTGCCAAGAGAAGCATTCGTGAACCGAGGTGTTCCTGTATTGTGAACTTGGAAGATGGCTGAGAAGAACGCTCCTTCTGATGTGGCACTTGGGAGCAGAAACGATTTGGCAAAAAGTTCCCAGCTGCGTTCTCCATGTGTGAGTCCCGATGGGCTGCGGGCTGCCAGCTGTTGCAGCCCTGTGCTGAGCTCCGTCTGCATGGGTGTAACGGCAGCTTGCTTCTTCCTCAGGTGACTTCCTTGACGTGGAAGGTCCGGAGGAAGGGGAGGAACATTCTGGCTAGAGCCACAGCCAGAGCTGAGATGACTATGGCACCACCGGGGACAACTCCACCCCCCAGTGGAATGACTGCAGAGCAAGTCTGGAGGCTTGAGTTGAATTCTGGGAGACTGAGGCTCCAAGTTCAGCCCTGTCAGGGACACAGCGGGGTCTCTCCCAGACCAAAACAAACATGCACAGCACAAAACCCTCTCTGGGCTGCTGGGGCTGTGAGGCATCCTTGGCTCTGGAGGTAAGTACAGAGACTTGGGCTGTAGGTGCAGGCGTTCGCTGTGGATTACTTTCAGAGTTCTTCTGGTCTGAAGTGAAGTTTTCATAAATCAGTCTGAAGTTTTGGCTGGTAACTGGAACAGTGGCTCAGGTAAGAGAGACACAGCTGGATCCAGGCTCTGCGGGGGCTGCAGGTGTGGTGAAGTCTGTCTGCAGGTCCGTGGATTCTGTCACACAGCAGAGCCCAGATGAGATGGACCGTAGTGGTGGGTGCCCTGAAACCTGGGGCCAGAGGGTGCCTCCCCGTCTTCTGTGTGTTTCTTTCCCCCTCCTCTCA